GGCTGCCCCGGCTTTTCCAGCTGCTGCCAGCATTTCTCCTTCCTGCCTGCGGTGGTGGGGACAGCCAGGAAGCATTGCCTAATTTTTCTAATTGCATTTCCTAATTGCACGGTGGCCTTTTCCTTCCGGCCGTATTTCATCCCAAGTCCTGCTCTGTAATCCATCCTGGCCAGTGGCTCAATCTCCTCAGACCCAAACCCCGAAGGGTTACAAAAAAATACATGATCTGGATTTTTTCCTTTTATAATTATTATTAATCTGGGAGATTTGGAGGAATTAAGATTGTTTCACAGGGGGTCACGGTTGTTTGTGAGCCCGCGGGGCTCAAGCCTGGAAAATGTCACCAGGTCCCCAATGGCACCCGGGGTGGGGGGCAGCTGCCATCGCCAAAGCTGCGATGGGGAAATTGGGGGTGCGGGTGCACGAAGGAGGGGTCTACCCCCACCGTGTTCCCCGATGGAGCTGCCAAGGCTCTGCTTTGCTTTGGGGGAGCACCCCAGGTTGGTGTCACTGCCCTGGTCATGCTCAGGGCATGGATCCCCCTGTGCCGGCATGCACCCCGTGCCTCAGTTTCCCCACTTTTTGCTCCCGAGTTTTAAGATCCACTACATTTTCCCTAATTATCATCATTATCATCATGGGTGGCAGCACCTCACCCCCAACCATGACCTTACGGGGACGGAGGGGACCTCAGTGTCCCCAAGGAGGGGGACACCATCCCCTCCAGCAGCAAGGGAAGAGCACCCAAGAGCATCGCCACCCACTGCCACCCTACCTCGAAGGTGAAGGGGTAGGCGTGCTCGCCCAGCTTCTTGATCAGCCGCTCCTGCAGCCGCGTCAGGGGCTTCTTCTCCTCGGGGACCGGGGGGAAGGCCTGGGCGTTGGCCACGAAGAGGTCCTTGCGGAAGGTCAGCCCCAACACGTCCAGGTCCTCGCGGCCGTAGCGGAAGGCGCAGGTCAACGTCACGAAGACTGGGGAATGTGGCAAGGGGGGTGGAGGTTGGTGGCAGGGTGGCATCACGGCGTGGTGGCATCACGGCAGGGTGGCATCATGGGGTGGTGGCATCACGGGGTGGTGGTATCATGGCGTGGTGGTATCATGGGATGGTGGTATCATGGCGTGGTGGCATCATGGGGTGGTGGTATCATGGCGTGGTGGTATCATGGGATGGTGGTATCATGGCGTGGTGGCACCATGGGATGGTGACATCATGGGATGGTGGTATCATGGGATGGTGGTATCATGGCGTGGTGACATCATGGGATGGTGGTATCATGGGATGGTGGTATCATGGCGTGGTGGCACCATGGGATGGTGGTATCATGGGATGGTGACATCATGGGATGGTGGTATCATGGTGCGGTGGCATCATGGTATGGTGGCATCACAGCATGGTGGCATCACAGCATGGTGGCATTGTGGCTCATCCCGGTCCCACCAGCACCGGGAAGCAGTGGTGGCTCCCAGGAGATGCCACGGTGGGGAGATGGGGACGCAGCCCGGGGACCAGATGCACTTTGGCGTGCCCACCACAGGACCCCCATCTTCCGCAGGAGTGTGGGGACACGGGGGCTGGAAAACGTCACCCGAGGGCCCAGAGACGCTAACCCAAGACTGTGCGGGGACACCGGCCATCCCCTATGGCGGTGCCACCTCCATGGCCCC